TCCTAGAAGTCCACAGGCACCTACGTCGACGCAGTTCCCCCTTCTGGGGCGAACATAGTCGATGGCATGTGGATTTTTAGGGTGAAGCGGCAGCCGGGTTCTCCGCATGTCTTCAAGGCTCGTTACGTTGCACGAGGCTTCAGCCAGCGACAAGGAGTTGACTTCTTCTAGACCTTCTCCCCTACCCCGAAGATGACCACTCTTCAGGTTCTGCTGTACGTCGCCGCTCAGCGTGAGTACGAGCTGCAATCTCTTGACTTCAGCACAGCTTTCTTGCAGGGCAGCCTGCACGAGGAGATCTGGCTGCGCCGCCCACCTGGCTTCACTGAGTCTTTTCCTGCAGGTACACAGGGGAGCCTCCGGTCTACGGTCTTCGCCAGGCGCCTTGCGAGTGGCACGACACACTGAGGACGACACTTGCGGCTCTTGATTTGTTCCTTCTACTGCTAACCCGTCGCATTTTCTGCGCACCGACACTTCGCTACCGCAGTTCTACGTCCTCGTGTACATCGACAACTTGGTCTTTGCCATTGCTGACACTAAGGCACTGGCCCTTGTGAAGTCGAAGCTGCAGAAGAGACACACCTGTACTGACCTGGGTGAGCTGCGCAGCTATCTTGGCTTGCAGATCACCCGGGACAGAGCACGGCGCACCATCACCTCGACTCAGTCACACATGGTGCACCAGGTCCTTCAGCGCTTCGACTTCCGGTACTCCTCGCCACAGTCCACTCCTCTGCCTACCGGCCACTCGCTCTCAGCTCCACCTTCGGACGAATCCGTAGAGCCGAGTGGCCCGTATCCAGAGCTTGTGGGCTGCCTTATGTACCTGATGACCTGGACTCGACCTGACCTTGCCTACCCTCTTAGCATCCTGGCACGTTACGTTGCGCCTGGGAGACACCGACCAGAGCACTAGGAGGCCGCTAAGAGGGTGTTGCGCTACTTGTGCAGTACTTCGGGCATGGGGCTCGTGCTCGGAGGACGGGATCCAGTTGTCCTCACTGGACACGCAGACGCTTCTTGGGTTGACGACTTGGCTACGCAGCGGTCGTCATAGGGTTACACCTTAAGCCTTGGCTCCGGCTCTGCCACTTGGCGGTCTACCCGCTCGTCTTCTGTTCTCGGCTCTAGTTGTGAGGCTGAGATCTACGCAGGGGCCATGGCTGCACAGGAGTTACGCTGGCTCACCTACCTGCTGACCGACTTGGGAGAGCGGCCTTGTTCTTCTCCAATTCTGTACGTATTCAACAAGGCCATGATTGCCTTGTGTCAGGAGCACAGACTGGAGCACAGAACGAAGCACATCGCTCTGCGTTACTTCCTTGCTCGAGAGTTGCAGCAGCGTGGTCAGCTTCGTCTTGCTTACGTGGCCACTCGGGCCAACACTACTGATATATTCACCAAGGTACTTCAGTCTGGTGATCATCGGCGTTTCTGTACTGTTTTAGGCCTTGTGCCTACTTTGCCTCACTTGCTCGCTGCGTGACTTTGCTTGTACTGTGATATATATATATATATATATATATATATATATATGCATATTTATTCTTGCTATGGTATGATCACTGTACTGTTTGTTCTCTTTTATATAACTCTGCATATGAACTGGCCTTGTGGCCTTTGCTTGTGCTCGGAATGTGTGGTGACTTCGTGATCCACCCTGAGCTTGCTCTGCTTTTCCTTGACTAGTCGTGTGACCACTTGTTCTCCCCCACTTTGCCTATATGGGTGTGTCGAAATGTTATAGTCCTTATATTGTGTAGTCTGTACTGGGGTAGCCCATAAGGGGTACAACCCAATTAGGGTTAGTACTTGTACCCAACTTTCTGTTCAATGCAATCATTCTCATTCAGTATTCTGACAATGTATGCAACAACTCAGTGCGTACTCCTTCCCATCATGGAGCATTGTTCTTTAAGGAGTGGCTAGGTTTATTGAACATGTCTTAGGAGTAGGGATGAGCAATGATTGAACACGAACATGTTCGTGTTCGCCCCTACACGAACACATCTGTTTGCCGAACCGAATAGTGTTTGGTTCGGCGAACACTTAAAGCAAAAACAGGTATTCGTCGTTCGCCTGTGAAGGCGTGTTCGGGCGAACCTCAAGCACGTCCGTGTTCGTCGTGGGGCAAATTGCAGCAGCGGCCTGAACACGAATGTGTTCGGGCGAACCTCGAACACTGTTTGGCGAGCACTTTAAGCAAAAAGAACAATCGAGGCGAACCGAATAGGTGTTCGCCCTTGTGCTCATGTCCAATTAGGAGCTTGAAGTGTGTGCAACTTCTCAGCACGTATGATGCCCCACACTGGCCAGAATTAACTAGTTGTGTGTAACATGGTAATGTGTTGAAGCGGTAAGAATTGCGGAGCTTACGAGATGGAGAACTTTTCCCTGGTGAATTTCTTGCGCTAAATTTTTAATCAGTGCTTTAGGCTCCACTGAGCACCGCAGCACCTGAAGAGCAGTTCTGTAAGTCACAGGTATGGTACGACTAGTCAGCTGAGCAGATTCCCTATATTTGTGAGTTCTATGTATATCTCAACTCAAACCTTACTGCAAAAATACCTTACCGTCCTACGTTTCCTGTACTAGCGAAGCAGTCCCAAGCCACATGTCGCCATGTGCGCTGGTTTTGCTCAACACCTTCCTCGAAACTCTATTGTGAACGTGCTTAGAAACTTATGACGGGTACAGTTTGTGCAAACATCCCATCACAGTCAGCACACATGTTCACCCCACCAACCAAACGAACCGATTTGTCACGCAAATGCACGGGCCTTCCTACTGGCTGCACCGACTTGCCTGACATCTGGAAGCTTTTTACTCGGTGACTTGGACACCTGACACACGCAATTTCCCACGGGACCTCAAACCAAGCCTCACATGTTGCCACGGAGGTTCATGTCAAGCCAGAAGCAAGGGGTGAATGTCCCCTTTCGAGAATGACGCGCGGAAAATCCGACCACCTCGGCATCATGTCACAGGAACACCCCCCCTCCCTGCCCCCGGCCAGAAGTTCGCCACCCAAAATTCCGCGCTCTTCCGCTAATGGCGCGAGAGATTCCTTCACCCGGCGCACCAGAAACGCGTTGCCGCCGGCGGAAACACGGGGAGGTTGGACTTGGCGCTTGCGCAAACACGCTGCTTGCGGGGGATGCCATGCCAGGCGGAGCCAGGTAAGAACTGCCTTCCGCTGCACTAACCCAACCTTCGCCCGTCGCGTCGCACATTGCATGGTTTGACGCGCCATGGCCTTATATATTGTTCTGCTAAAGAATTGGTAGCTCATTCTGCGCACAGTCCGTGAATACTTGACGGTGAGATCTTGCTACCAAATACAGCTGTCACAGCAATACTTCACTACCTGCTGCGACCACTGCTAACTACTACTAGTACCACTCAACGTTCTGTTCTGGTAAAATCACATGGCGACACTGATTTCCTCCGTCTCCCACCAGCAGCGGAACATCGCTGAACCTCGATTCCATCTGGAAGTGGTTGAGGCGTTTCGCCTAATCGACACCAATGGCGACGGCCGGATTTCGTACGAAGAGCTCGCAGCTCTCCTTGATCGTCTTGGGATTGACGATGGTCTTGCCGTTGTTCACGATATCATCGGCGATGCGGATCGTGACGGCGACGGTCAGATAGACGTTGAAGAATTTTTAATTGCTGCCCGTGGAGCTCCGTGTAACTGCCACGTCACCGGCTTGTCTTGCTGGCATGAAAACGAAGACCTGCAGAAGGCATTTACGCTCTTCGATTGTGATAATAGCGGGGACATTACAGCGGAGGAGCTACAACAGGCGATTTGGAAACTGAGTGGCGAATCCGTCAGCCTTTTGGATTGTCAAAGGATGATCGCGAGAGTTGACTCTAACGGGGATGGAATGGTCGACTTTAACGAGTTTCAGCGTATGATGGATGGCGTGTTCGGCTGAAAGCATGGCTCTGCTTTCGTCGTCGCCGAAACGTTATAAAATTCTGAAGACCCAGCGGCACCACCGTCAATAAGAAACGATTCCATGCCGACAGAGTCGTTTACCTTAGCGGAATAAGTGCCAGAGGTCCCTGTTCCGATTCACCCGTGACGTCGTTCCCGTTCTGTTTTCAGATTCTAAATGAATTTGGAATGTGTGACGCCAGGGGTCTCTCTTCTGTTTTCAAATACTTCTGGTTCTGTGTTTGCGGAGCTCCTGCATACACTCGGTTGGCTATATCCTTATCTTGTAATTTAGACGTTTCTAAGGAGATGTTCTCTGTAGAGCAACTTCTTTCTTGCAACGAAGCTTTCAAGATCTGGAATTCCCCAAGCACTGTAACAACACCTAAGTCAAGATGGTCATGCTGTGCCTCGTGATTGTCCCTGAAAGGCATACTGGTAGGTAGCAGTCAATCCTAACTGCATGCAGATTTTGCCAGGGCGTGGTGTAAAGGCATGCAATTACAGTATTGGAGGAAAGATGTCATCAGAATGGGGTTTATGCTTATCTGACCGCGGTGCATGGAATGGAATGATTCACTGCTTTTCAGCTTTTGCAGTTAGGTGCAGACAACTCTTACCATAAATAGCTGTAGGTGCATGGATACAGAAATCTCAGCTAGTTATAGAAAGAGTGAAACTGAAAAGTTTATTAGAGTTAAGCTAGCTGATCAGGACAAGATGTCTGCAATCAAGGCCCCCCCTGGAGAGAACGCTTAGCAGGAGCAGTCTACTCTTGAGGCATCTCAAAGACAGAGCAGGAGCAGTCTAGGCGAACAGAGAGGGCGAGAAGCAGAGCAGATGCGGCCAGAGTGCTTGAGGCAGGAGTTGAGAAGCTGGCAAGTTGATATGTGGGGCTGATGTGAGGGGCTAGATTGCAGGAAGAATGTTGATTCTAGATACCATAGCAGGGAGGGTGGTGGTGGCAAGCAGACCTTTGAACACTACAGTTGAGTAGGCGGAGCGGAACGAATTGGCATGTGGGGATAGGATTGCAGGGAGAGAGTTGAGGCTAGGTAGCAGGAAGGGTGTTGGACATGCGGAGTGTTTGGATGGTGGCAAGCAGGCCCTTGAGACCACAGCAGAGTAGGCAGAGGGAGTTGGGGCTAGGACTGCAGGGAGAGAGTTGGGGCTGGGATTGGAGTCTAGATTGTGGGGAGGGTGTTGGACATGCGGAGTGTTTGGATGGTGGCAAGAAGGCCCTTGAATACCACAGCAGAGTAGGCAGAGCGGAACGAGTCGAGCAGAGCGGGGGAGGGGTCGGAAGCAATGCGGGTGAGGCAGAATTCGATGAAGCCTGACTGGAAGGGTGAGGGGCTCTTGAGCTGCTGCTGGTAACGCTGTAACCACAGGTGCGCCATCACCTGGCACATGGCCTCCTCGATTTCCGAGGGCAGCGCTGAGAATGCACCTGAGGGAAAAAGGAGGAAGAGAAGGGAAAGGGAGAGGGGCTCTTGAGCTGCTGCTGGTAATGCTGTAACCACATGTGCGCCATCACCTGGCACATCGCCTTCTCGATCTCTGAGGGCAGAGCTGAAAAGACACCTGTAGGGAGGGAAAGAGGGGAGCAAGGATGAAAGGCAGAGGGGCTCTTAAGCTGCTGGTGGTAATGCTGTAACCACAGGTGTGCCATGACTTGGCACATGGCCTCTTCGATCTCTGAGAGAAGCGCTGAGAAAGCACCTGCGGGGAGGAGGGAACAAGTGAGGAGGGAACAAGTGAGGAGGGGCAAAAGGAATGTGAAGAGAGGAGAGGAATTGGGTTACTTCTGGTAACACTGTATCAAAACGACATGCTCCATGACCGGGCACATGGTCCCCTCTGTGTTTGAGAGAAGAGCTGGGTTGAGAAGCCACCAGTGGGGAGGAGGGGGCGAAGCGATGAGAGGCATTGAAATCAGGTAATGCTCGTAAGAGCAGCACAGAAACGTCTGTAACATGTCAAAGCTCGTAACAGCATGCACTTGATCTACTCTACACAGTTGAGAGATTTCAAAAGTGGCAAGGGGACATGGCATCGAGACATGAGCAGGACCACCACACATGCATGCATGAGGCAATGCATGGGATGGAGAGGCAAGGGGACGTACCATCGAGGATGAACCATGCATGCATGAGGCAACGCATGGGATGGAGAGGCAAGGGGACGTACCATCGAGGATGAACCATGCATGCATGAGGCGATTGGCTATGACTGCCCCGGCCAGAGGTCTGATGATGAGGGGGAGCGGGACGAGGGGCACAGGGATCAAGGGGACAAGGGGGGGAAGGGTTGAGGGGGCAAGCACAATGGGATCATGATGGGTACATGATAGGAAGCGAGAAACAAAAAGGGGCATTAAGGCACGTTAAGGCACATGCACATACACACGAGGGCAGATCCATGGAAGGCAGTAGAACGTACGCTGGGAGGCCGTAGAGAATGGCGATGCCCGAGACTGCAGTGGAGTTGACATGCGTGAGTGTCTTGGCTTCATGCGAGATGCCTGCAAAGGCTGTTGCTGTTGACCCTGGTGCTCGTACAACCTGGAAAAACACAAGGAGAAGTGAGGGGTGTAGGGATGAAGACGGTGAGAGATCAGGGTTGGGTTTATGTGAGATGCCTACAAATGCCGCTGCTGTGGACCCTGGTGCTCGTACGACATGGAAACACACAAGGGAGAGGAAAGAGGGTGGGGATGAGAGTGCGGCAGAGATGCATCAGTCAGAGTTTATACTGAAATGGTACTGAGATGATACCCATATGACGCTGAGATGATAATGAGGTGTGACACAGATGATACTGTGACTCACTGTTTGAATGGTGGTTTCTTGAGTGAGGCACACTCCAGGCACCACCGCCAGGCGAGATGAACCCTGTTGGGTTGGAAATTACCATGCCATGTGATGACATGCAATGCCATGCCACGACAAGCCATGCCATGCCATGCCATACCATGCCAAGCGATGCAGCAACCGCGCAGAACGCCCGTGCAGTCAGAAGGGATACAGGGATGGATGTGGTGACTCGAAATCCAACCCCCACACACATGGAAAGTAGAGTCATGATGGTACACGGTACAAGTTATGTGGAGTTCATGTTGTGTTTTCAGGCCAGGAATGCATGCGGATCAGGGACAACATTTGATGCGCCTCAAAGGAACGTGAGGCAGATCACATAAACCGACCCTCCCCATCTCTCCACTTCACCCCCATCCTAATATCTCACACATACCCCATTCCCCCCCCACACCTCCCCCTCCCCTCTCTAACACCCCCCACTCTCCCCCCTCTCTCTCCCCCCCTCACCTGTCTCTCGCCCTCAGCAGCAGCTTGTAACGCCGCCACGCCAGCAGTAACCACCGGAAGCTCGTCGCCCACTGCACCCCTCAGCACCGCTCCCAACCCCACCTCCTCGAAGAAACTCAACACAGAGGCGAAGAGGGGGGCGCATTCAGCGGAGTCTATGACTAGAGTTCCCAGGGAGGAAGAGGAGGAGGAAGTGAGGGCGGAGAGCGCAGAGCCAGGGGGGGAGGGCCACGAGCAGGTGTTACAGTCGGGGCAGAGCATGCGGTTACCCCCAATGTCAACCATTGTGCATGTGCTTGGCTGGTGGAGGGAAGAAGGGAGAGTGGACGGTGGGGGGGGATGGAGAGAAAAAGGGAGAGGGAACTCAACACAGAGGCGAACAGGGGGGCGCATTCAGAGGCCTCTACTACTAGAGTCCCCAGCGAGGAGGAGGAGGAGGAGGTGAGGGAGGAGAGTGCGGAGCCAGGAGGGGAGGGCCAGGAGCAGGTGTTACAACCGGGGCAGAGCGTGCGGTTACCGCCAATGTCGACCATTGTGCATGTGCTTGGCTGGAGGGGGGAAGAAGGGAGAGTGGACGGTGGGGAGGGATGGGGAGAAACGGGGAGAGGAGAAGCCATGGGAAGGAGGGAATCATCAGAGGGAGGGGCTGTGCTTGGCGCAGTGCCTGTGTTTAACCCACCAGTCAACCAGATTCCAGCCCAGTCACTTGTGCGATAAGTGGGAAAGTCTGTTGAGTTTGACTGAATGACTGACTGACTGACAGCACCTGGAGGCGAGTGCAGGCGGAGCAGAGAGGCGTGTGCAGGCGGAGCAGAGAGGCGAGCCATCCGTGGAGGGGCTGTGCTTGGCGCAGTGCTTGTGCAATAATTGAGATAAACTGTCTGTCAACTTTCTGTAAGGTTCTACTGACTGACTGACTGACTGACTGACTGACTGAACTGACGAGCTGTCTGTATGCACCTGAAGGCGAGTGCAGGCGGAGCAAAGTGGGGAGCCATCCGAGGAGGGGCTGTGCTTGGCGCAGTGCTTGGCGTGCCACAGGTCGTTGAGGCGATACTCCACCATGCCAGAGTCGCTGGGGGCGATCTGCGAGGAATGGCATAGGAAAAGCGTCCATGTGGGCAAGAAGAGCGGGTAGGTAGGAGGAGAGAGGGGGAAGAGGGTGAGCTGGCCTGCTAGGCAGTGCTTGGCGTGCCACAGGTCGTTGAGGCGATACTCCACCATGCCCGACTCGCTGGGGGCGATCTGAGAGGGCAGAGAGAGGAGTGCAGGCAGGCACAGGCATGACAGGTGGTAAGGTGCTCTGAGTGCCACAGGTCGTCGAGTCGATACTCCACCATGCCAGACTCGCCGGGGGCGATCTGTGGAGATTACAGAGGAAGGGTCATACACAGAGGAATAGAGGTGACAGGTGGTAAGGTGCTCTGAGTGCCACAGGTCGTCGAGTCGATAATCCACCATGCCCGACTCGCTGGGGGCGATCTGAGAGGGCAGAGAGAGGGCAGAGCGAGGGCAGAGAGAGAGAGAGAGTGCACACATGTCAGGAGAGTGGGTGTGCTTGGGTGCTTGGCGTGCCACAGGTCGTTGAGTCGGTACTCCACCATGCCCGACTCGCTGGGGGCGATCTGAGAGGGCAGAGAGAGGGCAGAGCGAGGGCAGAGAGAGAGAGAGAGAGTGCACACATGTCAGGAGAGTGGGTGTGCTTGGGTGCTTGGCGTGCCACAGGTCGTTGAGTCGGTACTCCACCATGCCCGACTCGCTGGGGGCGATCTGAGAGGGCAGAGAGAGGAGTGCAGGCAGGCACAGGTATGACAGGTGGTAAGGTGCTCTGAGTGCCAGAGGCCGTTCAGTCGGTACTCCACCATGCCCGACTCGCTGGGGGCGATCTGTGAGGGCAGAGAGAGGGCAGAGCGAGGGCAGAGAGAGAGAGAGAGAGTGCACACATGTCAGGAGAGTGGGTGTGCTTGGGTGCTTGGCGTGCCACAGGTCGTTGAGTCGGTACTCCACCATGCCCGACTCGCTGGGGGCGATCTGAGAGGGCAGAGAGAGGAGTGCAGGCAGGCACAGGTATGACAGGTGGTAAGGTGCTCTGAGTGCCAGAGGCCGTTCAGTCGGTACTCCACCATGCCCGACTCGCTGGGGGCGATCTGTGGAGATTACAGAGGAACACAAGAGAAGGTTTTCGTGGATGGTGCTTACATATGGGTCCCAGGCGTACCTCTTAAGGCCATACATATTAAAGGAGGCTTAAAAAAAAAAAAACATTTATGATAGGCACTTACATAAGTGTCGCAGACGTAGCATTTGGGGTGGAAGAGCTGGCGGTAGCACTCGGTGTGGTAAGTATCACCTTCCTTCACAGAGCACTGCACGGGACAGGACAGCAGTGAAAAGAGCAGCAAAATAATAGGATAATATAAAAAACGTATTGTATCAGGAACACCACAAATTATCAGCCGTTCAAAGGTACATGGTGAGGACACTTCCGAGAGGAGAACACAGAACCACACGACTGCTCAACGTCACTCGCTCTCTCTCAACCCTCTCACTCCCTCACTCTCACAGCCTCTCTCTTTTTCCACTCCCTCCCACCTGCCTTTCAGTGATTGGTTGGCAGTCACCAGTGGCAGCACTTGAAGCAGGCTGCATGCCAGTGGCGGTTCAGAGCAATCAGGTGGTGACCCAAGTTTCATCCCGTTCACATGACTCACTCTCTCACTCCCTCCCCCACTCTCTCACCTGCGTTTCAGTGATGGGCAGGCAGCAGTGGCAGCACTTGAAGCAGGCGGCATGCCAGTCACGGTTCAGAGCAATCATCTAGGGCCCCACCTTTCAACTCTTTACGCCACTCACTCACTTACTCACTCTGTCACCCCCTCGCTCACTCACACAAACCCTCTCCCTTACTCTGCATTTCAGTGATGGGCAGGCGGCAGTGGCAGCACTTGAAGCAGGCAGCATGCCAGTCACGGTTCAGAGCAATCAGGTAGTGACCCAAGTTTCAACTCCTTCACTCCACTCACTCACGCTATCACTCCCTCTCCCCTCCTCACCTGCATTTCAGTGATGGGCAGGCGGCAGTGGCAGCACTTGAAGCAGGCGGCATGCCAGTCACGGTTCAGAGCAATCAGGTACCTCCCAGAATCGATAGTCCGCTCACAAGCACTACATATGCCGTGCCTTGTGGGTCTGAAGGTGAAGGGGAAGGGGTACAGGGGTAGTAGGGGTAGGGAGAATGGGAATAGGGCCATGCCAGTGGCGGTTCAGAGCAATCAGGTACCTCCCAGAATCGATAGTCCGCTCACACGCCCCGCAAATGCCGTGCCTTGTGGGTCTGCACGGGGACAGGGCGAGAGGGTAGGCAAAGGACACGAAGGGGTAAGAAAGCAGCAGTGGTGGCGGCAGTGGCAGCAGCAGCAGCTGCAGCTGCAGCAGCAGGCACATGTCCGTTCAAAGAGGCAATGACAAAAGATATACCCGCATCACTTTATAACACAATCACTCACGCGGCATGGAATCCCTTCATGGGTGTCACCAGCACCAGCGCACCACTTGTAGCATCCAACCCTCCTGCTCCCCCACCAGCAGCAGCAGCAGCACCCGCGGGCACAGGCCCATCCACCAGAGCCAGCAGATCGACCTCCCCATTCGCCTGCTTTGGAGCTACCGAGTTCACCTTCTCTAGGAGAGACGCTTCCGATGTGCCCGTGTCAATGTCCTGAGGTGGGAGGTGGTTGGGATGGTGGGTGGGTGGGGGGGGTAAAGTGGAGAGCCACATTAGCAGCAAGACCAGCAAACCAGCCTCCCCGTTGGGCTGCTTGGGCGCTACCGAGTTCACCTTCTCCAGGAGTGACGCCTCTGATGTGGCAGTGTCAATGTCCTGGGGTGGGAGGAATAGGGGTGGGTGAAGGGGTGGAGGGGTGGGTGGAGCAGTGGAGGGGTGTGGGTTGTGGGGCCGGGGAGCCTTGGAAACGAGGCCATCAGAAAAATAGCGCCGCTGCCCATCTCTTCACCCTTCGTTACCATCCCAACCCATCCTCCACTCACCAGTAGGCTAATTTCTTGGAACGCCTTGGAAATGAGATCATCAGCAGTGGGAGCACTGTAAAGCACCAGAGCGCCCGGCCCTGCGTCTGTGCCCAGCCCATCCATCCTCCCCTCCCCCATCCTACTCCATCCACCCATCACCCCTTCTCCCCCACCCCTCCATGTGCACTCACCAGTAGGCTAATTTCCTGCTGGAACGCCTTGGAAATGAGGTCATCCGCAGTAGGAGCACTGTATAGCACCAGAGCCCCCGGCCCTGCATCTCTGCCCGGCCCCAGCAGATCGTCTTCCATGGATAGCAGGTCTGGTGGTGGCGATGCGATGCCCATCCGTTCACCCTCCCCTTACCACCGCCACCCCCACTCACCAGTAGGCTGATCTCTTGCTGGAACGCCTTGGAAATGAGGTCATCAGCAGTAGGAGCAGAGTAGAGCACCAGAGCGCCTGGCCCTGCGTCTGTGCCCAGCCCCAGCAGATCGGTTTCCATGAATAGCAGGTCCGGTGGTGGGGTTGCCCATCCTTTCACCCTCCCCTTACCGTCCCTACACGCCAGCCACTCACCAGTAGGCTGATTTCCTGCTGGAACGCCTTGGAAATGAGGTCATCAGCAGTAGGAGCACTGTAAAGCACCAGAGCGCCCGGCCCTGCGTCTGTCCCGAGGCCCAACAAATCATCTTCCATGGATAGCAGGTCTGGTGGTGGCGATGCTGCTGCTGCTGCCGCTGCTGCAGCTGCCGCTGCTGCTTCGGCCTCTGCTGCTGCCTCCTCCTCTGCCTTTTGGCGGGCTGAAGGGAAGGCAGGGACGTGGCAGTGTGTGGGGTTTCAGGGAGAGAAAACGAAGGGAATACAGGGAGTGAGATGGTTTCAGAAGAAGCAGGTGGAGTCACCCTTTCCGTCTCCCATCTGTGATGATTTTTTATCGATAAGGATGCCCGTGGCATGTGAATTCGTTGTGTTGCGTCTGGGCGTGTTTGCTCGTGCGTGCTATTGCACCCGCCTCATCTCACCTCACCACTCATCAGGTCTTCACCACGCACCTCTCTCCTCTTCCTCCTCTCGTCGTATGCGCTCCGCCCTCTCCCTCTCCCGCGCCTCCTCCTCTTCCTTCTCTCGGTCATATGGTCGATCCTGCACCCAACCAAGCCAGTATTCCGAACCAGCCATCCCGAGCCAACAACCCCAAACAGCCATGCACTCCGCTCACTCCAATCCGTTCACGCCACGCCACGCCATGCCACCCCATGGCATGTCAAAGCATGCCATGCCACCCCATGACATGCCACAGCATGCCATGCCATTCCAGGGATTACGACAGCCCACCAAGAATCATATCATATCCATCATGGCAGATCATGCATCCCAGAACAACAATTCGGGGCCAGCCATACCGTGCGACGCCACTCCATGTCATGCATAAATCCCCAACGACAGCCCACCAAGAATCATATCATATCCATCATGGCAAATCATGCATCCCAGAACGACAATTCGTGGCCAGCCATACACACAGCACATGACTCTCAGGTAGAGTTAGAAGGAACTGCCAGCACTAACAACAACAAAAACATCGAGACTCTGATTTTGTGTATCGTTTGTTAATGCCTTCAGCTCAACGCATCATACCGCCCACCATGCCCCCCCCATATCCCCCGTCGTACCCCCCCCCCCACCACCATACCCCTTCAGATTTTCTCAAAAGTGACTCCAAAACGCACCCGTGCATAATCGTCATAGCCATATCGGCTGCCCCGCTCGTCGTCATACCGCCCGCCATACCCCTGCCCCTGGCTTCCCGCGTCGCTGCGCTGGTCCTGCAACTGGGGCGCGCGGTGATCGTACCCGGGGGGCTGGGGAAGCGGGGAGCGGAGAAAGCGGGCGGGGATCAGGGAGGGTGGGGAGAGCGCGCGCAAGGGGAACGGGATATGACGGGGTTGGAAGGGAGTCCGGAGAAACCGGGAAACCCGGGAGTGGGGGGGTGGAAGGAGAATTTTGATGCGAGACATAGGGAAAATGAGGAGGGGAGGGGAAGCGGAAAGGGGGGGAAGAGAGGAAGGGGGATGGAGGAGGAATGGGGGGTTGGGGAGCTGGGGGGAGTGGGGAGGTGGTAGCACGGCAGTATTGCACCGAAAAGGAAGCGAGAATGGTAACCCGATATGTAACGCCGGTACGTAACCGGGGACGTACGTACCGCAGTACTGGACCATTTGAGCCACCAGGGCGATTCATCTTGCATGCCGCCATTGAAGCGGTACGTACGGCCGACGCCCTCGTCCGTGTCGTCTTGTGGTAACGGCGCGTGCTGATGCTCCAATGCACTCATCACAAACCTGCCAGCACGGGAGAGGAGAGCGAGAGAGAAGAGCAGTACGATTTTAAGAAGGGCATGGATGCACGGCATGGACAGAAGGACCAGACGGAGCGTCCGACGAGTGATGAGAAATTCGAACGATCGGACCGAACAAGTGACCACTGAAGAGAGCGTTCACTACAAGGAGAAAGACGATACGCATGCTGCTTACGTGGCGTATTGAACGCCACATCTCACACGTGCGTGTTTTGTAACGCATTTTGCAAAAACGCGTGACATTTACTAATTAAACATAGTCAACTGAATTTGATCGCTGGTCAAGTTGCACTATAAGTTTGCTAAAGATCCATTACATTTTCATGACTGCAGGACAACAACAGGATAACCTCAGACCTATAGACGCGTCAAAATGACCTAATTTCATGCTGACAATGAAAACTTAGGAGATCGATTTTTCTCTGAAGGTAATTCGATGGACAGTTCAAATAATGCGCGTCTAATCATGAAAAGTTCGTACCTTTGGAACCATGACGTGACATTGCCGACCACCTCGTCCGCTTGGACGTTTTTGAGTCGACTCAAAATTGATAGTCGATGTATATCTCGCGCGCCTGATCACGAAAACATACCTTCGGAACCATGACGTGACATTGCTGACCACGTCGTCTACTTGGTCGTTTTTTAGTCGACTCAAAACTGAAAATAAAATTATATCTTGTGCGTCTGATCACGGAAACGCATACCTTCGGAACCATGACGTGACATTGCCGACCACTTCGTCTACTTGCTCCATCGTCGCCGAATTAGCGAAACGAATCAATAGCGCGATAAATTACAGTATTCTTATATTCCACGTCGAACTGGATTGGTAGAATCCTCAGGCTATAGCTTGCAGTGTCTAAGCGAAGTTCTAGAAGAAAAAGAGGGCATATTGCGGATCAGAATGGGCCTGAGGCCAGAAGCTTCTTAAACTAATGCGATACGGTAACAACCGGACTGCTCACACATTCTCGGCTTGAATCAGTAAATGCATGTATTTAATCCTAGAACTCTATTGTTGTCCGTCCTCCTAAGCTTCACGATCTAACCTGCATTATAGACATCAGCCTCACTGACCTAAGGAAATCTTGAAACAAAACGGTTTGCAGAAAGAAATATGCCCCTGGATTCCAAGCTAAGAAATTCCACCAAACTTCTCTTCTAGGCGGGTCTTGGGATTACCCGCTCCTCCCAACCAACCAATCCGGGCCACTAGGCAGCTGCCCCAGCCCTTGGGGTGAGGGAGGTTGGGAGTACGGGCAGTGTTCTCACACCTCACACCTTCCCCTGGGCTGCTTGGCGCGCTTTGCACAGGCGGAGAGCGCAGAAAGCGAGCGCAGGTCTGCGCGGAATTCGTAGGGTTTCTTTGCCGGAGACTCCAAGTTGAGGTGCGCGTGTACACTGAAGCGGATAGTGCGTGCGGAGGCTGGGCTGTTTTGGGGGTAGGCGGACGTTTGGCGGAAAAGCGGGCAGGTGATTGCGAAGGTGTGCGACTGGCGCTTCTAGCGCAGCGAATTTCTTGAGGGGTGCGACCTGGATGTTTGATGTGCTTTCCAGCCGCCAGTTCGTGAGCGACAACGTCGGCCCTCAAGGTTGTCATATCCTCCTCTTTGACCGTTTCGTTTCCATTTGATCTAAGAAAGCTCTCAACTTTATCAGAAAGGAAGAAAACGTATGGCTTGCATATGCCCTTCGGTCTATCCGATTATCGCGTCTAAAACTGAAACCAGAATGCAATAAAATACAAACTTTTCTACAGTGACTTATATACTAGTTGTTTATACGAGGGATGCAACATCGTCACGATTCACATGTATCACATTGCACATTCAGCTGGTACCATGGCAATGGTCAAGGCATAAACACCTCGAGAGTCACACGAGAGCAGAATTGGAAAGGAGTAAAGGGAATATTTGTATGTTAAGAACTCAGTGGGTTTCACATATACTCATTGGAAGTGTAGTCACATGAAAGGGCACTTGTTCTGCCCCACTCCCCTCCCCTCGGCCAGAAGCAGTGAATCTTGATGCATCCAAGAATTCCTCCCTTTCCCAGCAACAGTGTATCACATGAGAGAGCAGTCACTCTGCGTTGACCCACCCCTGCGCTGCCCCCTGCCCTGAGGGGTTGGCGGGGAGGAAGTGGTGTGATGCGGTGTGGTGCGGCGAGAGGGGGATCTTGGTTGGGTGCTACCCTGCTTGGTGAAGGTTGGGGGGTCGGAGAAAAGGAGGGGACCGGGGAGGGAGAGAGGGAGGGAGAGGGGGATTGAGGGAGGGAGGGAGGGAGGGGGGAGGGGGGGAAGGGGGGGAGGGAGGGAGAGGAAGGGGAGGGAGGGAGGGAGAGGAAGGGAGGGAGGGAGGGGAATAGGGTGTGAACCAGGGGAGAAGCATGGGAAGCAAGGGGAAGACTGTAGCAGCGGTGTGCAGAGGTGTAACTGAAAGGCCGCTCTTTCCTCCCACACATGATCCCAATTTAGACACATACTCCTCACACCTGTCGTCCCACTCCCCTCTTCTCCCGCTCCCCTCCCTCCTCCCTTGCCCACCTCCCCCTTCCCACTCCTTAAACCCCACGACTCCCACATGACTTACAAATATGAGCCCAGTCGCTGCTTCCCACGTGCTGCCCCATCCACTGCTGCTCTCCCTCCCACCACCACCACCTTCGCTCCTCACTCCTGATACACCTCTGCCCTCTCCCCTGCCCCCCCGCCCCCTCCCCCTCCCCCTCCCCCCTGACTGATGCACATCTATCGGCCCTCCTGCCCCTCCCACTGCTCCTTCCCGCCCCCACGCCCCTCCCCCACTTCCCCCCCTGGTGCCACCCCCTTCACTGCGCACCTGCCCCACTCCCCCTGATCTCCCCCCCCTGCTTCCGCCCCTCCCCCTCCCCCCTGCCTGCTGCCTCTCTGCTGCTTCCACCTCCTGCTGCTGCAGCATCAGGGCCAGCTGAAGGTCCGAACTGGTACAAGGGGTGGAGAAGTAGCAGGAGAAGGGAAGAGGGCATACGGGGAAGAGACAAGGAACATTCTTCCCACATCCTCTTCCCCCTGCCTGCTGCCTCACTGCTGCCTCTACCTCCTGCTGCTGTGACATCAGAGCCAGATGAAGATCCGAAAGGGGAGGCGAAGCAACAGGAGAAAAGATGAGAGAAAACACATGGAGAAGTAGCAGGAGAAGGAGAAGGGGGCGTGAGGGAAAAAAACAAGAAGATTTTTTTTTTTTCACAGATCCCTTCCTCTGCTTCCCCCATGCCTGCAGCTGCCCTTCCACGCAAAGCAAGCTAAATTTTAAAACTGGCATGGCAGCATGGAATATGCATGATTGAGTGCTTGTGGGGTGTGGTATGCGTGATAGGTGAGGTGTGTGTGGGATGACTCACTGTGATACGTCGATGCCTGGCTGAACCGTGGATGCAGCACAGGTGTGTGCCTGAGTAACTGTGCAGCGTATTGTGGTGTGGTGTGGTGTGGTGTGGTGTGGTGTGGTGTGGTGTGGTGTGGTGTGGTGTGGTGTGGTGTGGTGTGGAACGTGTGAGGTTAGAAGAGTGCGTTGAGAGACTCACTGGTATGCGTCCATGCCTGGGACGAGCTCCAATCCTTCCATGCCCTGAAAGGAGAAGCAGGCAGAGGGAGAGACAAGCACACGGAGAGCAGGGGGGAATTCATTCAGGATTGCTTTCAGACTATCCCATGGGCTAGTGTGTCAGTGAGGGCGTTGGGTGGCTCGCATGGGTTGCACGAGCTCCGATCCTTCCCTGCCCTGACAGTAGAAAACACGCAGAAAGAGAGGCATGCAGAAAAGGAGTCAAAAGCAGAAGGATGAGAAGTATACGTATTAGGTACGACAAGCCAAGAAGGAAGCTACAAGCTATGACTCACAGCAGCGGCAGCGGCAGCGATGGCAGCATCGTCCTCATGCGTCCACTGGGCAGCAGCAGCGCCGTCATGACTCAGGGCCAGTGACACGGTGGGGAGTGATGGGAGTGATGGGAGTGATGGGAGTGATGGGAGTGATGGGAGTGATGGGAGTGATGGGAGTGATGGGAGTGATGGGAGTGATGGGAGTGATGGGAGTGATGGGAGTGATGGGAGTGATGGGAGTGATGGGAGTGATGGGAGTGACATGAAACATGCATTGATGGTGCACCTTGCACCATGCTGGGACCCCTGTTGCCCCAAGCCATACTCACAGCAGCGGCAGCAGCAGCAATGGCAGCATCATCCTCATGCGTCCACTGTGCAGCAGCAGCGCCGTCATGACTCAGGGCCAGCGACGGCGGAGGAGCAAAGGGAGTGAAGTCCCCCTCACAGAGCGTGTTGTCGCCCTCCACCTGCCCCAGCCTCTCCCACACCACGCCCGGCTGGTTCAGGTAGCCTTGATCGGTCACCAGCAGGTAGATGTGGTTGGTGCGCTGAGGCAAGGAGAGGTGGGAGAGAAGGAAGAGAAGGGAGCGAAGGGAGCGAAGTGAGGACGAGAGTTGAAGGAGTAAAATCCCCCTCACAGAGCGTGTTGTTGCCCTCCACCTGCCCCAGCCTCTCCCACACGATGCCTGGCTGGTTGAGATAGCCCTGATCCGTCACCAGCAGGTAGATGTGGTTGGTGCGCTGAGGCAAGAAGAAGGGGGAGCAAGGAGGGAGGAAAAAGGGGTACATGATGTTGAGAAGGAATGCAGTCCCCTTGGCCCCCTTGGTTGGTTCAGATAGCCCTGATCGGTCACAAGCAGGTAGATGTGGTTGGTGCGCTGGGGGTGAATGGAGAGCAGAGGGAGGGAGAGAGGGTTCCAGGGTGGAGAGAGGGGAGAGAGGGGTGGAGGGAGTGGATTTGGCCTGGCTGGTTCAGATAGCCCTGATCGGTCACCAGCAGGTAGATGTGGTTGGTGCGCTGGGGGTGAATGGAGAGCAGAGAGAGGGAGAGAGGGTTCCAGGGTGGAGAGAGGGGAGAGAGGGGTGGAGGGAGTGGATTTGGCCTGGCTGGTTCAGATAGCCCTGATCGGTCACCAGCAGGTAGATGTGGTTGGTGCGCTGGGGGTGCATGGGGGAGATGGCAGAGGGTAGGTAGGATCAGCCTCTCCCACACCACGCCCAGCTGGTTCAGATAGCCCTGATCCGTCATCAGCAGGTAGATGTGGTTGGAGCGCTGAGGACAGGGAGAGGGAGAGAAGAGATGGCAGGGAGAGAAGGGAGCAAAGGGTCTGAACTCAGATGCATGGGGCGAAATCACCTTTGGCTGGTTCAGATAGCCCTGATCCGTCACCAGCAGGTAGATGTGGTTGGTGCGCTGGGGGTGGGGAGAGGGAGGGAGGGGAGAGGGGAGAGGGTGAAGACAGGGTGAACGTGAAAGGCTGTTTGAGATAGCCCTGATCCGTCACGAGCAGATAGATGCGGTTGGTGCGCTGGGGGTAAAAGGAGAGGGAAGCATGCGGCGAGGAAGAGGGAGGGGAGAGAGGGGTGACGTGAGTGCTTGCTTGGTTGGTTGGTGCTTCTTCCCTGGCTGGTTGTGAGAAAGGCTTGGTGTGCTTTTTCGGCCACCTGCGTAGGTCGTTGAGTGACTGTAAACAAAGTGCTGAAATAATCGTTGAGAAAAAAAAAAAAAAAAAAAAAAAAAAAAAAAAAAAAAAAAACTCAGGGACAACCTTTAAGACGTCTCAAGTGAGGGATTCACCTTGAAGAGATAACTGACATGGACTTAGCGGAAGAACACGCGGAGCCTAGGAATGACCTTATAAAAGCATTATCCGTATTTTTCTAGAGTATTTGCAGGTGAAGCCAGTCACCTTGAAAAGAGTACTGAAATGATTGTTGCGGAAGAACACGCAGAGCTGATTCTCCTTCACTCCCTCCTGTAGGCTGAAGAGGCTGGTCGAATGGAGACAAGGTGGGGCGTGGTGGTTCAGAGGAGAAGAGGCGTGGTGATGACAACTAGGGAGTTGGGGGAGAGAGAGCCGAGGTGAGATGAACCCGGGAGAGCACACAGAGCTGGTTCTCCTTCACACCCTCCTGTTGGCTAACGAGAGTGGTGGAATGGAGGCAAGAGACGGGCGCGGTACACTTTTTGATACATCGTAATCTCTTTTGCTACATGAGAGACGTGAAGAGAAACAGAGGTGGGAAGGTGACAATCACATGTGTGGCTTTTCAACCGGCTCAAGAATCAGGGGTAGATCTGGGGAGGTGACAAACACATTTGAACCGACTCAAGAGTATACGCACCCGTGGTAGGTGAGCTGGCTGGCTGTGTCGTTGAGAAACGTGAAGAGCAGCAGAGCTGATGGTAGGGGAACGGACACAGATGGCAGAGGGGGGAATGAGGGGGGGAATGTGGAGAATGGAAGAATGGGGTGAGCAGGAAGAATTGAAAGCAGCAAAAAAACAAGAGCGAAATATTCTTATGCATGTACTTTTAAGTCGTTTGAAAAAGCACTCCTGGTTAGGACCAAACTCATTGAAGGACCGCTTGAGAATTCTTCTGACCCCACGCCTAACTCACCTTCCCGCACATCATCCCGCATCTCGTGTTTTGAGTCGACTCAAAACAGGACCACTTGAGAATTCTTCTGACCCCACACATAACTCACCTTCCCGCACATCATCCCGCATCTCCCCTCCGCATATCTCCACATCGTTTGAGGCGCCCAAAACATAATTGGTTCCAACAGAAAGCAAAAGAGAACCCTCCCAGCCCCCATCCCAACTCACCTTCCCGTACATCATCCCGCATCTCCCCTGCTAGCGTTTGAGGCGCCCAAAACATAATTGGTTCCAACAGAAAGCAAAAGAGAACCCTCCCAGCCCCCATCCCAACTCACCTTCCCGTACATCATCCCGCATCTCCCCTGCTAGCGTTTGAGGCGCCCAAAACATAATTGGTTCCAACAGAAAGCAAAAGAGAACCCTCCCAGCCCCCATCCCAACTCACCTTCCCGCACATCATCCCGCATCTCCCCCCCCCCTGCCTGCTCCCCCCCTCCTACTGCCAGTGCAGCTCCCCCTTCGCTCCTCCCCTCTCCATCCCCACTCCCGCGCTCCTCCCCTTCCCTCTGCTCTCCCTTCCCTCCATCTTCCCTCATCCCTTCCTCTTCCTCCCCTCTGCCCTGCTCCTCCCTCATCCCTTGCTCCTCCTCGATTCTAACCTTCTCTTCAGCGGACCTCTCTGAACCAGAAACAGCCCCACTCCCCTGCCTCGCTTCTGCACCACCCTCTACCCCCTCCAACCCCTCACCACCCTTCGGACTTCTCTCTATGCTTTCTCCCTCTGTATCCCTCTCACTCTCCTCCCCGGTTGTTTCTTCTGCAGCAGCACAGGCTCGGGCAGCCGAGGTTGAAAGAGGCTCGGAGGATGGACAAGGCTCGGGAGCTGACGCAGGCACAGATGCCGGAACAGGCTCGGAAGCTGGACGAAGCTCAGAAGCAGATGGCACAGGATCGGAAACCGATGACGCTTCGGAGACTGGTAGAGGTTCGGAGACTGGTAGAGGTTCGGAGACTGGTAGAGGTTCGGAAAGGAGAAGGGAGGCAAGGGACTCTGCCAGAGCAGCTGCTGTCACTGCACTCCCTTCATCTCCCACACGTGGTTTCTCGTCCCCCTCTCTTCTGTCCCCCTCTGGTTTCCCTCCACCCTTCCCTCCACCTCCTGTTTTCCCCACATCCCCTCCTCTTCCAGCCCCCCCTCCCTCTCTCCCTTCCCCCATTCGCTCTCCACCCCCTACTCCCCCTCCCCATCCCCCTGCCCCTCCTTCCCCCCCTCCCCCGCCCAGCAGGGCAGCAGCAAGGTCGGGGTGGGAGGCCTGCAGGGCAACGAGGCGCTCCACAATGTTGTTGTAGGAAAGGGATCCCACTGCTGCTGCTGTTGCTGAATCCTGTAGGTTGAAGGGGTTTTAGAGGGGTTGAAGGGGGTTTGGGGCTCACAGCACAGACATGGCCTGCAGAGCAATGAGGCGCTCCACAATGCTGTTGTAGGAGAGGGACCCCGCCGCTGCTGCTGTCGCTGAATCCTGTTTTGAGAGGGGGTTTCAGGGGGGTTGAGAGGGGTTTGAAGCACTTGCGAGGCCTGCCGGGCGACGAGGCGCTCCACGATGCTGTTGTAGGAGAGGGAGCCCACTGCCGCTGCTGTGGCCGAGTCCTGTAGGTTAGGGGTTTTAGAGGGGTTGAAGGGGGTTTAGGGATCACAGCACAGACATGGCTTGCAGGGCAACTAGGCGCTCCACGATGCTGTTGTACGAGAGGGATCCCACTGCCTCTGCTGTGGCCGAGTCCTGGGTTCAGGGGTTTTGGGGCAGTATATGGGTTCAGCGGGGTTAAAAGGGGCTTTAGTGCGCTTCAGAGGCCTGCAGGGCGACGAGGCGCTCCACAATGCTGTTGTAGGAGAGGGACCCCACTGCTGCTGCTGTCGCTGAGTCCTGTAGGTTGAAGGGGTTTTAGAGGGGTTGAAAGGGGTTTAGGGCTCACAGACATGGCCTGCAGGGCGACGAGGCGCTCCACGATGCTGTTGTAGGAGAGGGACCCCACTGCCGCTGCTGTCGCTGAATCCTGGGGTTAAGGGATGGCATGTAGGGATGGTATTAGGAGAGAGCTTATGGAGCCTGCAGGGCGACGAGGCGCTCCACAATGCTGTTGTACGAGAGAGACCCCACTGCTGCTGCTGTGGCCGAATCCTGGGGCGGGTTTAGAGGGGTTGAGAGGGGTTGAGATGGGTTTGAGCTCTTTTGAGGCCTGCAGGGCGACTAGGCGCTCCACAATGCTGTTGTAGGAGAGGGATCCCACCGCTGCTGCTGTCGCCGAGTCCTGCATGAAGGTTTAAGATGGGTTTAGAGGGGTTGAGAGGGGTTTTAAT